CCACCCCAAAACGAAAAACTCCCCAAAAAAAAAAAAAAAAAAAAGACCCAGACATTTCACCTGAGGAACGGAGACAAGGCCCAGGAGGGGTATGACCCATAGGGCTGACGGGTGTCTGGCCCCAGCTGTGCCCAGTATAAAGGCACAGCTGTGGGGGTGAACCAGAGCTGAGATCCAGCCCATGCTCCACACCCCCGGGGTGCATTCTGACATGGGTCTGCCTCTACCCCAAGAGCAGTACACGTTTCTGACTTGCACAAGGACACCCCGTGGCTGAGCAGCAGCTCTAGTGATCAAGTAGGGCGTGAGGAGGGAACACCTGGACCGAGCACCGAATTCTGCAAGTGAGGTTTGGGCCGCCCTGGATATTGCGGTCAATCCTCATTATTTGTATTTTTTCATAATTGGCTATGAGGTATAATGCACTTGCCAGAGAGAAAGGGTGAGGTGAGGAGGAAGGGAAAGTGAGAAAGCACCCCCAGGCTGGGATGGCTTTGCCACAGTCCATTCAGAATCTGAGCATGCACACACACATGCAGGGTATGTTTTCAAGTCACCAGGTATAGGACTCAAACTGCAGGCAGCCAGGCAGGATCCAGCAGCCTTAACCTCCATGCCACCTGCTGGCCCTCATCCTCTTTATAAATAATTTAAAAATAATAATTCAATAGTTGGAAACTTGCCTGTGCACTAAAATTTGTCGGTGACCCCAAAGTCAGTATTCACAGCACTTCCATGTGCACTGTCGTGCAAATCTGAATCTCATCAGCCTGCCTCACAGCCTGCTGGTTAAGGGAGCAGGAGCCCATGTGATCAACCATGATTCAAAGCCTGGCCTGGCCCAGGCGCATGCATGTGTGCATGCGTTGGTGGGTGCATGCACCTTCTGGCAATTCATAAAAAAAGAAAAAACAAAAACCGAGTTTCTGGTGCTGGGTTCCCAGGTCAGATACGAGATGCTCTGCCCTCTTGTTTTCAGCTCTCGGAGTGCAGACAGCATGTATCACAGTGTCACAGTGCGAGGGGACCTCGGCTAGTTCACGGAAAAATGGAATTACGATACGAGTTTATTTTTAGTGCCCAAAAAAACCTTGAAATTCATACATAGTTTGTTCATAAATAAGTGCTTCAAGATTCCTTGGTTTTATTTTTGGTTTTGTTTTTTGGCTATAGGGCACATGTGCTTGCCGAAGAAAGACAGAGAGAAAGGAAAAGTGAGAAGTCATACCCCAAGGGGGATGACCACATCTGCAGTCCCTTCTCTTCCATTCTTTTCTCCTGTTTTTTGGATACGCACACACACCCAAGCCTCTGGGTCCAGCACTCCAACAGCCATGTGGGATCCTGCACCTTCACCACACCACCTGCTGGCCTGACTCTTTGTATATTTACTCACTTTTTTTGCGTTTTTGTAGTTTTTGTTGGTGATGTCACTGTTTAAAATGGGTCCCTAGGCACAGTGCTGAAATGTTGGAGGGTGTCTCTTAGCACTGGAAGGCTGAGAAGTGCCTTATAGAGAAAATGTCCCGTTAGACCAGCTTCACTCAGGCCTGAGTTACAACACTGCTGGCTGAGAGTTCTGTTAATGATCAACAGTACGTTGTCTTTTGGACCAGCAGATGGCAGAATGTCTATGTCGCTGGACTCTCACGTAGTTGACCGCAGTTCGAGGCCTGGACCTGGTGACTTAAACTCACCCCAGGCTCATGTGCGTGCATGCCCAACATCTTGAGAAGAGAATGGAGGAGAAGGAATTGTGGCCTGTCCATCTCCCCGGGGGGTGATTTCTCGCTTTTTGTCTCTCTGTCTCTCTGGTGAGTGCACATGCCCTATAGCAAATATCTCAAAACAAACAAACAAACAAAAAAATATATATATATACATGTTGTCTCTAAACAGAAAAATATAAAACAAGGTTATATATTGATTAATGAAAACATCACTATCACAGAAAACTAGCCAGGCATTTCCACTAGGAGCAAGCTCCCACATATTAGCTAATTCAGTGTTTACAGCTTCTCTCTATTACCAGAATAAGACTACCATGGATTGTGAGAATCAACTGTACTTTGAGATCGTTAGCCAAAGGATAGCAATTTACGCATTGTGTTTTTGCCAAGAGCTGGCAGAGGCTGAAAGCCTAACAGTGCAAGACATCTTTAGCGGTGATGTTCTATTCCTAGGGTCTCAACAGGCCGTCGAGGCTGGCAGAGCGCCTCCCACTCAGTTGGTCTGCCAGCAGCAGCAGCACTGGGCAGCTAGTCATGAATATGAAACCTCAGGCTCCATGGAGCCAGCAGGCAGGCCAGAGGTTAAGATGGCTGGATCCCACATGGCCTGCTGCACGGTTCTAGTCCTGGACCCAGCAGCTTGAAAAACATACTGGGGGACCAGCAGGTGGCCTGGTGGTTAAGGGCGTTGGACTCCCACATGGCCTATCACAGTTCAAGTCCCAGACCTGGAGGCTTACTTTCTCTCTTTTTCTCCCTCTCTCTCGCTCTGTCCCTCTCTGGTCAAATTAAAATAAATAAATAAATAAATAAAGTTAAATAAAATAATTCTTAAAAACCTGGTGGCTTAAACTCACACCGGTACGCCAGGCATGTGTGCCCAAAATCCCTAGAGGAGCATAGAGGAAAAGAGATTGCAGCATGGCCATCCCCCCAGGGGGCGATTTCTCACTGTCCGTCTTTTTCTTTATTTTTGGAGAGGTTTTTGCTACAGGGCATGTGCACTTTCCAGAAAGACAGAGAGAGACAGAGAGAAAGCGAGAAATCACCCCTCAGGGGGATGGCCACACTGCAATCCCTTCTCCTCCATTCTCCTCTCGGGATCTTGGGCACGCACGCACATGCACCCGGTGTAAGTTTAAGCCACCGGGTCCAGGACTTGAACCGCAGTCGACTACATGGGAGTCCGGTGACATAGCTACTATGCTATCTACTGGTCCCAATTTCTCACTTTCTTTCTCTCTCTCTCTCTCTCTCTCAGTAAGCACACTCACTTTATAGCAAACTAAAACAAGCAAACAAAAAAATTCTCCCAGGCTCCAACTCAGATTCTGCGTTTTCACAAACTCCATAGATGAATCCCTAGTTGGTCTGTGTACACCCTTGAACTTAAAAAGCATTACCACAGTGGAAACCACTACCTTGTGCTGAGGCCGCTTATTTCATTTTATTTATTATTATTATTACTTTAATTTGCTATAATCACCAGGAAGAGACAGAGACGGAGGGAAAGTGAGAAAGCAAACCATCAGGTTCGGGACTCAAACCACAGTCCACCGTGTGAGAATCCAGCACCCTAACCACATGTCACCTGCTGGCCCCTGTTTATTTTAATTGTTAGAAAGCCTGTATGCTCACCGGAGAGAAGGGGAGAAAAGCCCTCCTCATTGGGGTGTGGCCATACCACAATTCCTTTCCCTCCATTTGTCCACTCTGTAGGAATTTGGGGCACACATGTACAGTGCCTAGAATGTATGTGTGTGTGTGTGTGTGTGTGTGTGTGTATATATATATATATATATTTTTTTTTTAAGAGAGAGAGATTTTTGCTATAGACCATGCATGCTTTCCAGAGAGACAGAGAAATAGAAAGTGAGAAATCCATAAGGCAATACTTGCTTGCCAGAGAGACAGAAAGTGAGAAATCACTCCCTAGGGAGGACGGCCACTCCGCAATCCCTTCTCTTCCATTCTCCTCTCAGGATCTAGGATCTTGTACATGTGCCTGGTGTGAGTTTTAAGCTGCTGGGTCCGGGACTCGAACCACAGTCAACTATGTGGGATCCAGTGATGTAACCATTATGCCATCTGTTGGTCCCCTTGCTTGTATTTTTAAGCCACAGTAGCAAAAATCTAGGCCAGGATTTGAACCACAGTCAGCCATGTGGAATCTAGCTGCTTAACCACTAGGCTATAGGTACAGAGCCGGCCTGAGGCTTTTGGGGTATTTCAGGTGTTTTTTGTGTATCTCCTCCATGAACAAGAGAGACTGAGGGGCAGCACCCCCCACAGACCCTGGCCCTGCATTTCAGCCCACCATCAGCCAGCCCCGCGTGGGCGTGGGCGGGCGTGGGCATGCCCGGCGTGCTAAGACAGGGCCCTCACCTACGGGTGAGCCTCACAGAACGTCGGTCACTGCCACCGTGCCACCGTCCCACCCGACAAGGTTCTTACATCCCGCACATGGCTCTCTGTCTGCAAGTCGAGAGTTGGGCTGCCCGGGCTCTGCTCAGCTTTTAGGTGCCAGGCTTTCTGTTAGGTGCTTGGCAAGTCAGGGTTCGTTCACAGCGAAGAGCTTCCTGCGTGCCGGCACTGTTTTGGAGGTGAGGACGTCAGAATGGATGAGACAGACAGGATCCTTCCCCTTGGGGAGCTTTCATTATAACACCGGAAACAGCCAATGACCCAGAAAGTGACCTCGGCTGGGAGGACCCAGGTTAAGTGCTGCCAAGGGGACGGACAGCCACGTGAGCGCCGGTGGACAGGGGGTGCTGGAGAAAATTGGGGGGTGGTCAGAGAACAGTTCTGTGAGGGAGTGAGGGTTTTGTTTTTTGTTTTTGTTTTTGTTTTGTTTTGAGAGGTTTTTGCCATAGGGTATGTGCACTTGCCAGACAGACAGAGAGAGACAGAGAGACAGAAAGCGAGAAATCAACCCCCGGGGGGATGGCCACGCCGCAATCCCTTCTCCTCCATTCTCCTCTCGGGATCTTGGGCACACACACATGCCT